CTTCCGCGGTCCAGCTCTTACCGGCAGTCCACCCTGGGGTCTGGGACACAAACACCCCCTCGGTTGCCTCACATCACGCCCCCATCCTCATCAAATTAAAAAACCCATCATCTTACCCCAATTGCCCCCAATTTCCCATCTCTCAGGCTCACCGACTAGGACTCCACCCCATTATATCTAAACTCAGAAGCCAGGGCCTCCTCATTCCTACCAACTCCCCCTGTAACTCCCCCATTCTGCCTGTTAAGAAACCCTCGGGGCAGTACCGCCTTGTCCAAGACCTTCGCATAATTAATTCAGCGGTCATACCCATCTCCCCTGTAGTCCCAAACCCCTACACCCTCCTCTCTCATATTCCCTCCCATACTACTCATTTCTCGGTTCTTGACCTAAAGGATGCTTTCTTTACCATCCCGCTACATCCTGATTCCTATTTTCTCTTTGCTTTCACCTGAGAAGATCCGGTCTCCAATATTTCCCAACAGTTAACATGGACTGTCCTCCCTCAAGGATTCCGAGACAGTCCGCACCTCTTTGGTCAGGCTCTTGCTCAGGACTTAAGCGAATGTGATCTGTCCCATCCACTCGACCACTCTACCAGGCAGCCAGAGACACCCCCAAGGGACCCCTGACCTCCCCTAAGGAGGTCCGCCGGGCTTTCCAGACCCTCCTTGAGGCTTTGTGCTCTGCCTCAGCTCTTGCTCTCCCCAATCCCCAATGACCTTTTCTCCTCTATACAGACGAAAAACATCACTTAGCCATAGGGGTCCTGGTTCAGCCACTTGGCCCCATCCTGGTCCCTGTTGCTTACCTCTCAAAGCCGCTGGACCCCACTGTTCGTGGATGGCAGCCTTGCCTCTGGGCCCTTGCAGCAGCGGCAGAACTCACCACAGAGGCTCTGAAGATCAACCTGCAACAGCCTCTCCAGGTTGGATCGAGGCCCTCCCAACAGCCTCAGAGACTGCAGAAACCGTAGCCACTCACCTACTGAAAGACATCAGCCCTCGCTTTGGGCTGCCAAACTCCATACAATCAGACAATGGGCCAGCTTTCATCTCCAAGGTCACTGAAGCGGTCTCGGTCTCTCTTGGCATCAAATGGAAACTACATGCAGCCTATCACCCCCAGTCCTCGGGTAAGGTTGAGCGGGCCAACGGCCTCATCAAGGAACATCTAACCAAACTCAGCCTGGAACTCCGACAGTCCTGGCCTGACCTGCTACCCCTGGCCCTCACCCATCTTCGAGCCGCGCCTCGGGGACCCTCTCACCTCAGTCCTTTTGAACTTCTATACGGAAGACCCTTCCTCCTTCCTACTCCGTTTATAGACTCCCCACCCCCTCTGGCCTCATACCTGCCCTACCTCTCCCTCCTTTGCTCCCTCCTCCGAGAACATGCTAACCGTATCCTTCCTAAACCTGGATCTGACCTGGGATCGGAGCTCTCCCAACCCATTTCACCCGGAGACCGGGTACTAATCAAGACCCTCTCTCCCCGACCCCTACACCCTAAATGGGAGGGACCGTACACCGTGGTTCTGACTACTCCCTCTGCAGTTAAGGTGTTGGGGATCTCCGCCTGGATCTCCATCTCTCTAGGATAAAGAAAGCCCCGATTCCAGAAGAGCAACCAGTCCCGGAGCCTCGCTTCACCTGCCCTCCATTAGGGCCGACCAAAATCAAAATATACAAGACGCCCTAATTGGATCATCCAATAAGTCATTATGATTCTGCTATACATCTTTCTGACCCTGGCCTCGCCCCTGGTTGCCCACTCATTCTTGCCACCTTCTCTCCTTCGCTTCTGGAATCCTCCCAACTGTTCCGTACCCTGAATTTGACCCAACGCCTCCTCTATAAGGCCAACTCCACATTTGCGCCTGACTGTTGGGTCTGCCTATCCCTGTCCTCCTCAGCCTACTCTGCCATATGTGTGGGTCCACCACCTATATGTGTCTCCCCACTAACTGGACCGGCACTTGCACCTTGGTATATCTCACCCCCAACATCAATATAGTCCCCCAGGACGCCTCCCTGCCTGTTCCCGATGTCACCCTGATTAAGAGCACAACGCATTCGGGAAAGGCGAGATCAATCTTGGAGCACCTGGCTCAATTCCAACTGGGCACACTGGGTTTTGCCGCTTATGGGTCCCCTAACTCTCCTTTTTCTAGCCCTAGCCTTCGGACCCTGTCTCCTGCGACTACTCTCCTCCCTACTACAAAACCGACTGAAGGCCTTCACCAGCCAGACGGTGCACGAGATCATGATGCTAAGCCATTATCAACCTCTCACCAGATCCTCAGGCCCGGATCATGCCGACATGGGCCCCCTCCCCTTACGCCGCCCCTGTCCAGCTCGAAGCAGCCAGAAAGACATCTGCGCCCCTTTGTCATTATCACAGAGTCGGGAATGTCCGATGGCCTGGGGACTGGTGCCAGGCAAAGTGCTCGACCATTGTCTCCTTGCTCAGCCTTGTCTCCCACCCTGAACGGCCTGCCTCGAGCCTATAGATTAACTCCCATCTTATCTATTCATATTCCAGAGGCTCCATGCATAACCCCCGCAGGGCCAAACCCTAAGGGACAAATTCCAGCTGCAACAGGCAGATATAAAAGACACAAGCCCCTACATTGAGCGCGGCTTCTAGGACTCGACCCCCGGAGTCTGTGAACCCGCCCGGAGTGCACCCAATAAAGCCTGATCCCTGTTTATTCGGCTGATTGGCTCTCCAGTCTCTTCTCTGTTTTGTTCGGCGGCGCCCCCCCCCCCCCGATTCCTTACACTTTCTTGTTTCACTGTACCCAGCTTTAGTAAATGTCCTCTAAAATTCACCTGGATTTATTTTGTGAAACTTCTCCTGCATGAAGTCAAGAATCCACACACTACTGGCTGGCCCTAGACAGACCCACCAAGGGCCAAATCCTCTTTCTGGTAACAATTCTAGTTAAAATCCTATTCATTGGAAGTTCAGAATATTACTTTCCAAAGAGTGATTGGCAAAATACAATCAAAAGATTAGAAGCTTAACTCCTTTGTGTAATATATTATTCATGCATTACCATATGCCCAAATGTGGTTGTTTAATATGACAGGGCGACAGAGACTCTTAGGACCTAATATCTGTATCAGTCCTCTCCAGACCTATCAGAAAGGATTGAGTCACACCTCTTCAAAAATTTTCCAAGACCTGCCCTTTTTTGTCTGACCTAGCTACAGTTGGCTGGCTGACCCCCTCCCTCCCTTCCTGTACTCCTGGGCCCAGAGGAAGTACCTATTTTACAAGTTTTTGTTTTGTTTTTATTTCATTTTAATGCGCACAGCCTTGAATCAAACCATTTTCTTTTTTTTTTTTTTATCCTCACCCGAGGACATTTTTCCATTTTTTGTTCAGATAGAGCGGGAGGGAGAGAGAGGAAGAGAGAGAGAAACATCGACATGAAGGGACACATCGAGTGGCTGCCATCCGCACGACCAACCAGGGCCGGGGACAAACTGCAACCGAGGTACGTGCCCTTAGCGGGAACCGAACCCGGGTCTCTCTGGACCGCAGGCCGACGCTCCAACCGCTGAGCCAAACCGGCCAGGGCGAATCAAACCATTTTCTACCTCAAGCCTCAAGTGACCAGTTTTCCTGGTTCAGCTCATGCCAGGATTGCTTAACTAAGAAATTTCTCTGAGCCCTGGCTGGTGTGGCTCAGTTGGTTGGTGCGTAGTCCCATGCACTGAAGGGTCACAGGTTCAATTCCGGTCAGGGCACATACCCAGGTTGCAGTTTCCATCCCTGATTGGGGCACATGTGGGAGGCGACCAGTTAATGTCTCTCACATCACTGTTTCTCTTTCCCTCTCTCCCTTTCTCTCCTTCTCTCTCCCTTCCTCTCTCTAGAACAGTGGTTCTCAACCTTCCTAATGCCACGACCCTTTAATACAATTCCTCATGTTGTGGTTACCCCCAACCATAAAATTAATTTTGTTGCTACTTCATAACTGTAATTTTGCTACCGTTATGAATCGCCACGGGAAATATGTGTTTTCTGATGGTCTTAGGTGACCCCAGTGAAAGAGTTGTTCGACCTTCAAAGGGGTCGCAACCCACAGGTTGAGAACCGCTGCTCTAGAATCAATGAAAAACATAACCTCAGGTAAGGATAAAAACAAACAAACAAAAGTTCTCTGAGAAACTTACATGCTTAGAACACATTATGCACTTTATACTTTGATAACATTATTCATTTTTCTAGCCTGCAGAAAAGAATCTGACCTTCAAGATTGGTCAATAATTCTCATTTTGAGCACCCACAGGTTACTTCATTAGGTCAGTTAAAATACTTGCACAAGTTTACTCTCAGTTAATAGGAAAACACTGAACAATGGAACAGATATCTGCTTTCAAGTTTTAAAACTCACAGGGTAGACACTCTAGACCCTATACCTTTAAAAATTATTTACCAACTGTTATTTCATTGGAAACATTTTGCAAATTGAGAGCACAGGCATTTGGCCTATAATAGTCAAATCAGAATACTTTACTCTACAGCCTAGATATTATAGGAAATCCCTAGTTAAATGAATAGCAACTATCAAGCAAATAGTTTTGGGAGTGATGGGGCTTAGGATAACTGTTAGTAATTCATATTTAACTGGGAGCTAGTTTAATCTGATTATTTTAACCCCCAGGGGTGATTAACTGAATGGCAATTTTTTGAGAGATGAGTAGAGGAAGAGCTAGTGATCATTTGGACATCAGCAAGGTCAAGGAAGGGGGAAATGCTTTAAAAGTAGAAGGGCTACATGGACAGGGATATAAAATCACAAAGACCATTTTAGAAGAGAGCTTCCCCTGGTTCAGCTCAAAATGTTGGCTGCAATTAGGCAAAAAAAAAAAAAGAAAGAAACTTCCTAAGACTGAAAGACACTATGTATTACAAATGCTATAGTCACATATTCTGTTTTCTCATAAAGTAGTTCTCAGAGCTTCTCATATTCAAGTGAATACTTACTTGGAAATAAGTCTGCAGTATTTCATCTTAAGGATCCGGAGTTGTTTGCAGCCTATCTGAAGATCCTCAAATATTTGGTCAGTAAGCAGGATACAACCGGAAATATCCAAAATGTGCAGGTAATGGCATTTTGCCGATAATATCTCTATCGCTGAGTCAGTAATCTGAACACACAGCCAAAGTAAGTACTGATTATTCTGATGAACTTCATCCCAGGGAAGAATAGTGCACAAGTCAGTTTTGGCTGCTGTAACAAATTACCACAGTCTGGGTAATTTTAACAGTAGACATTTATTTCTCCCAGTTCTGGAGGCTGAGAAGTCTAAGATCAAGGTGCCCACAGATTCAGTGTCTTGGGAGGGCCCTTTTGATTTACACATAGCTACCTTTCTTTTTTTTTTTTTTTCATCCTCACCTGAGGACATTTTTCCATTTTTGTTCAGATAGAGTGGGAGGGAGAAAGAGTGAGAGAGAGAGAGAGAGAGAAAGAAACATCGAGAGAGAGAGAGAGAGAGAGAGAGAAACATCGAGTGGCTGCCTCCAGTACAACCCCAACCAGGGCTGGGGATGAATCACAACTGAGGTACGTGCCCTTGACTGGAATCAAACCCACGACTCATTGGTCTGCAGGCCAACACTCTAACCGCTGAGCCAAATCGGCCAGGGTGATAGCTACCTTCTTGCTATATCCTAACATGGCAGAGAGAGAGCTCCTGTTTCTTCCTGTTTTTATAAAAACACTAATTCCATCATGGGGGCTTCACCTTGTTTAATTACTTTCCCAAAGCCTAACTTCCTCATACTATCATCTTGGGGATGGGGGTTTCAACATATGAATTTTGAGAGGACACAAACATTTAATCCCTAACAAACAGGACAATTGCAGGTTCTCTTTAATCGGCTTGTCACATGCTAGGTCTATAATTCAAGTTAGTGATTTAACAATTTAACCGTTTCCAGAGCAATATATGTTTCAAGTGGTACCAACAGAATTTGCGATTTTGCTATTCTTTTTAGAGATCTGTTATTTGGATGGGAAAATTCACCAAAATTTCCTTAGTAATACTTGTCACATCAATATAAGAATCCCCAGAAAAGAGACTTTCAATCTCCTGCCTAGAGGGAAAGATATGGCAGCCAAATTCTGGATGCTGTGTTGAAAAGAGCTTGAGTGGCCCAGCCAGTGTGGCTCAGTGGTTGAGCGTCAACCCATGCACCAAGAGGTTGCTGGTTCAATTCCCAGTCAGGGCACATGCCCAAGTTGTGGGTCTGATCCCCAGTGGGGGTCATGCAGGAGGCAGCCAATCGATGTTCTCTCTCATCGATGTTTCTATCTCTCTCTTCCTCTCCCTTCCTCTCTCTCTAAAAATTAATAAGGAAAAGAAAAGAGCTTGAGTGTCTCTGTATTCAGCTTTTAGTCACTTAATTCCCATTGGCACTTTGTACCCAAGCTCTCTATTATACATGGTGTCTCCCAGACCAGCAACCCTTGGTTTTACTATGCAGACCAGATAGTTGAGTGATTTTGCCTGCAGAGATCATTTAGCAATATCTGGAGACATTTTTTATTGTCATGACTGAGGACGTGGGGGCTGGGTGATACTGATAAATAGTGGGTAGAGGGCAAGGTTGCTGTTAAAGTACATAGAACCACTACCCACTGCACAAAAATTATCTCATCCAAATTGTCAATAATGCCAAGCTTAAGAAATCTGACTCTAGGAAATAAATCTCCAGTCTTCCAGTGAGGGTAGAATGTTCAGCTGACCAGAGTTGTGGAGTAGGGGAAGAGATTTAAAGATCTGTTTACTTCTCCAGAACTTTAACCCATCTCCCTTATGTTAGCTACCCTCTTAACCCAGCTCCAGAGGTACACTGTGCTGTCAAGCTTGAAGACTATGGTGTAAGTTCATTTTTCCCTCAGATTTCTCTACTGTTGATTTAGGATTCAAAGCCATCTCTGATCTGCTAAATTAGTCCATCTATTTTCAGGCTTCTAAATTTTGTTGCTCTTGTCTCTTCTGTTTTCCCTATCAACATGGTCCCTCACCCTTCTTCTGCAGCTGTGGTAGCACTTCAGGAAGGAACAAAACTATGTGTATATCTAATCTGCCATCTTAATCCAGAATCACAAATCTTTATTTCTCGACATAGAGGTATGTACATAATATATTAAGAGAAAAAAAGTAGGTTATAATCTATTTTGGAAAATATAATTCTATTCTTTTTTAAAAAAAAGACACAACAACCCTGGCCAGTTTGACTCAGCAGTTAGAGCGTCAGCCTGTGGACCAGAGAAACCCGGGTTCAGTTCCCGTTGTGGGCCCGTACCTCAGTTGCAGTTGGGGTCATGTGGTTGGCAACCAGTGGATGTGTCTCTCGCACATCGATGTTTCTCTCTCTTCCCCACTCTCTCCCTTCTGCTCTATCTGAATATCAATTCAAAAATATCCTCGGGTGAGGATAAATAAATAAAAAAGACAAAACATAAACTTTCTATAACTTTTCCTAATTTCTTTGTACATAGAAAAAAATTCTAGCCCTGGCCGGTTTGGCTCAGCGGTTAGAGCGTCCGCCTGCGGTCCTGAGAGACCTGGGTTCGGTTCCCGCTAAGGGCATGTACCTCGGTTGCAGTTTGTCCCCGGCCCTGGTTGGGTCGTGTGGGTGGCAACCACTCGACGTGTCCCTTTCACGTCAATGTTTCTCTCTCTCTCTCTCCCTCCCACACTCTATCTGAACAAAAATTAGAAAAAATGTCCTCGGGTGAGGAAAAAATTCTACAAGAATAAGTATAAAATACAATGGTTATGTCTGGATGGTGATATGACAATGACTTTTTATTCCTTTATGCTTTTATATGTAGTCCAAATATTTTATGATGAGTACATATTTCTTTTATAAACAGATGTCAAGACAAATTGTCAAACACTTGAAGTCATATTGGAACACCAACAGGCCTACCTGAGGAATTCTATATGGAATTATGCCTTTGTTTGACATACTGTTTACTATTAGGGTCCAAACTCAATGAAGTTACATGTTATAACTTCTCCAGAAGAGATGCAAATTATTTTTGTCTGGTAGATACTATAACTCCACAGTTATGGATTTATTACCTTGTAGGTTATTACCCAATTTCGAACCTAACTCAATAATCATATTTCAACATTCTTTCTTCAGTTCCCATAAGTGCTCAGTAAGACCAAATGCTCTAGGAACTGGTTTTACCATTTTGTCGGTTCTCTCATTAATGAATTAAATAAATTTTTGACATATTTTTGTATTTGTGTGAGAATTGTTTTTAACTTTTTGAAAATTCTATTTTAACACAAATAAAATCATAAAACTATTTCTAATTTGAAGAAAGAAAAAAAAGTATAATGAATACCTCAGATAGCAAAAAAAAAAAAAAAAATTCTATGGTGAGTTCAACCCCTGACTGCTTTGCTGCCTGAGTTCTTTGACTGCTTCAGTTTGATATTTCTGAGCTCTCACTTCTGCACATACCTTTGGACAACCAGCAATGCTGAGAGATGTGAGGTTAAGGCAATATATGGCCAGTGATACAATAATTACATCTGATAGCTGGAGGCAGTAAGAGACATCCAAGTGTTCCAAGATCTTTGAGCCTTTGCAGAGTGCCTGCAAGAAATTCCAAGTCAAAAAGGGTTTTTCCTTGTCCAGATTTGGCTCTGTGGTTAGAGCGTTGGCCCGTGGACTGAAGAGTTTCAGGTTTAATACCCGGCTCCAGTCAGGGTTGTGCAGGAGGCAACCAGTCAATGTACCTCTCTCACATCAATGTTTCTCTCTCTCTGTGTCCCCCTCCCTCCCTCCCTCCTTCCCTCCCACTCCATCTGAAAATCAATGGAAAAATATCCTCAATGAGGATTTAAAAAGATAAATAAATAAATATTTTTAAAAAGAGGTTTTTTCTTTTCTTTTCCTTAGTCTTTTTTTTGCAAAGAAAAATATGTAATGAGAGTGATTAAGCAAATATAAGGATATTTTTGTCATAAGTTTCTGAGACAATACATTAGTAATCATCATGCCACTTTTACACACATTAATGAAACCACAGCATTTTCAGATAGCCAAATATGTCATTCACTAGCCACTCTTTCCTTGATATTACAGTAAATAATTCTTTCCATGTGCCACAAAGTAGCAGCAAAAGTAGAATGGATAAAACTCCAACATTTGCTGCATCTATCTCTGTAACACATCTCTCACATCATATATACAAATTAAAGCTTCAAGACTGTGGTTAATTTTAAATCTAGTCAAGATGGCAGTCCACCCACATTTCTAGGCTTAAAATATAACATCTTTCATAACTACCTCTTCACACCATACAAAATTCATATATGCTTGCAATCACACTATATTTTCCCAACCACCTTCTACTCATATCAGCCTCCAAAGTTTGCTTGGTTTTTATGTACTAATGTTATAGACCAGAATTAGATTTCTTTCTTAAAAAACCGAGAAATCTGTCACTGACTATAGATTAAATAAAACAAAATTTTCTACTGCCTCCTATAAAGACTAAATTTGCCTTTTATTTTATTTTTTTTATTTTTTATTAATTTTTGTTACAGATGTTTCTCCTTTTCCCCCCACTGATTTCCCCCCTCCCCCTCCCTCCCTGCCCTTTCCCCAGTTTGTTGTCCATGTCCACTGTTCATGCATACATGCATATAAGTTCTGTGGTTTATCTCTCCCCCACCACCCCCCTCTTTAGGGGATTGTCAGTCTGTACCCCACTTCCACGTTTCTGGGATACCCCATTCCTCAGACTGTTATGTTCATTATATTCCACAAATAAGTGAGATCATATGAAACTTGTCTTTCTCTGTTTGGCTTGTTTCACTTAGGATGATACTTTAATTTTCCTTAGTCTTTATTCAAATGTTGTATACATACAGAGCCATCTTACCCATAGCAGTTTACTTAGTATGCGTTTCAGTCCCTGAAATATAGATGTATTAAATCTTGTTGCAAAAAAAATAGGATAAAAGAAAAGCTATTACATCTAAAAATTCTTTACAACAAAAGATATTCACATAGCAGCTTAATAGCCTAGTACAGTGGTTCTCAACCTTCCTAATGCCATGACCCTTTAATACAGTTCCTCATGTTGCGGTGACCCCCAACCATAAAATTATTTTCACTGCTACTTCATAATGGTAATTTTGCTACTGTTATGTCTTAGGCAGCCCCTGTGAAAGGGTCAATCAACCCCCAAAGGGGTAGCGACCCATAGGTTGAAAACCACTGGCCTAGTAATATTTACCTGCATGGTCATCAAGTGAGTAGATGAAAAGAAATCTGGAGGTGAGAATTAGACAGCAAACACTCTGGAGCTGATAGTATAATATAATGGAAAGAACACAGTCTTTGTGTTATCAGGGAAATTGGGGTATCCCTTTCCCCCACTGAGTGCTGGGGATAGAGTCCTTAGGATATCTCAAGAAAGAATTTTCTGAGACTCGCACAGGAGAATGAGTGATTTTTATTTGCCTAGAATTACATCCCTGGGTTTCCAAAGTCCCATTTTCCTTAGTCCAGTTTTAGAAGAAGTGTAAATTGGGGATTCAGTAGAACTAAAAGCAAAGCCAGTGTCCGGAGTTTCTGCTCCATGTTGTAGCCAGGTCCAGTTCAGCATTAGGCTAGTTGCAGTCCATTAGTCCATTGTGGGTGGGGTTCACGTGGCCATGGGCAAATGTTGGGGAGCCAAGAGATCGTGCCCCCTGCAACAAGAGTCAAGAGCACAAGAGAACACTCTCCTTTGTTTAGGGGATTAAATATCCCAAATTTCACACCCTTGCAGTGGCCACGCCCATTCTAGCCAATTACCTGTTTCTAGGTTTGACTGACAGCAAGCACTTTTGCTAGTCCCCTCAACTTTAAGGGGCATTGGTCTATCTGCCTTTTGCTGGACCCCTGAGGAGTGTAAAGTTGTAACTTCCTGATGAATCTACGCAAATGACATGCCTATAATATTTGGCCTTCCCTTTGTTTCTTTCCTGTTATTAATAACTAGGTTAATTACAACGGTATCATTTGGAATCAGGCAGACCTGAAATGGAGTTGTGATTCCATTTCCACCACCTATTGGTATAGATCTTTCTGAATCTCATTTTCCTCTTCCTTAAATTAGGGAATATAGCCTGGCCAGTGTGGCTCAGTGGATTGAGCGTCCTCCCTGGACTGAGAGGTCCCGGTTCGATTCTTGATTCTCTGTGGAGGCACTTTGCCCGGGTTGCGGGCTCAATCACTGGTACCGGGCGTTGCGGGAGGCAGCCCATTGATGTTTCTATCTCATCAATGTTTCTATCTCTCTCCCTAAAAAAAATTAATAAAAAACATTTAAATTAGGGAATATATAGTTGTCCCCCCAGTCTAATAGGGTATTGGTTCCAGGACTCCTGTGTATACCAAAATCCAGGGATGTTGAAATCCCTTAGTTGGCCCTTCCTCGTATCTGCAAGATCAGCATCTGGCAACTGTAATAGCTACCCTCTAGAATTGTTCTGAAATGCCAAAATATGCACCTGCAATTTCTAGGGCTAATAAAGGCCTGGAAATCATTCATTGGAATTTCTTCCCGTTATCTCAGTGGCTCTTAATTTGTATTCTCCCTTTTCAGCAAAAAAAAAAAAAAAAAAAAAGAAGAAGAAGAAGAAAACAATTGAACTGAATGATAATTAGAATCTACAAGTAAATAACAGTCAAAAGTTTTTAACTCAGCAGTTATTCAAGAATAAAATGATCCACAAAATAAACCTAACAGTAATTGTAAAACCATCCGAATAGGTCAAGATGAGTAGAAATTGAAAACCAAGTTTCTAATTCAAGATACTGTACTTATGACCCCGCCTCGGCCCTGCAGGGGCTGTATGGACAAGTTGGGAGCGATGGCTCAGAGCCTCAGCCTCGCCGAGGCCCCCCGCCCATGAAACGGCTGGCTGGCCGGTTGGCTGTGCCTGAGCCTGGCGTCGGTGTGGCTGGCACCGAGGATGCAGACACTGCCGAGCCGATCACCCGCTCTCTGTAAGAGAACATTAGGAGTGGCCGGGCGGCCGGGTGGCTCCTGCAGGCAGCAGGAAGGAGAACTACTAGTGGTATGGGTGCAACAGAGAGAAGCAATGCCAGTCACTGCAGGCTGTTTGTTCAGTTACCTGGATCAAGGAATACAGATCTTCTTGAACAACAGCATCGAGAAGTCGGGCTGGCTCTTCATCCAGCTGTATCACTCCTTCGTGTCCTCTGTTTTCAGTCTGTTTATGTCTAGAACATCTATCAATGGGTTGCTCGGAAGAGGCTCAATGTTTGTGTTTTCCCCACATCAGTTTCAGAGACTGCTTAGAATTAACCCATACTGGAAAACCCACAGACTTCTCGACTTAGGTGCTGGAGACAGAGAAGTCACAAAAATCATAAGCCCACATTGTGAAGAAATGTACGCCACTGAGCTGTCTGAAACGATGATATGGCAACTTCAGAGGAAGAAATACAGAGTGCTCGGTATAAATGAATGGCAGAATACAGGGTTCCAGTATAACGTCATCAGCTGCTTGAATTTGCTGGACCTCTGTGATCAGCCTCTGACTTTGTTAAAAGATATCAGAAGTGTCCTGGAGCCAACTAGAGGCAGGGTCATCCTTGCCCTGGGCTTGCCCTTCCAGCCTATGTGGAAAACCTAGGTGGCAAGTGGAAGAAACCATCAGAAATTTTGGAAATCAAGGGGCAGAACTGGGAAGAACAAGTGAACAGTCTGCCTGAAGTTTTTAGGAAAGCGGGTTTGTTATTGAAGCTTTCACCAGACTGCCCTACCTGTGTGAGGAGCACATGCATAACAACTACTCCGTCCTGGACCACGCTGTCTTTGTTCTCAAACCCGTGTAACCCGAGGGCCGCAGTCTTCAGAGCCTGCCCCAGAGTACCCCTTCGGAGGAGCCTGGGGACTGTTGTGCTAAATATCATGTAGGAAATTAAAAAGCCAGAATACTAATTATTTCTTTGTAGTGTGTGAAAGGAATATTAAAAAAAAAAAACAAGAACCCAACTCTTTGAAGATTTTTATAAGCTCTTCTCTTACGCAATAATGCAGATTTTACTCCAATTATGAAAGATATTTTTTATACTTAATTGCAATGGGGACTCCTTCCCAGTCCAAGCAATAGTCATCACTTCACATGGAAACAGTGAATACGGATTGTTTTTAGTAAAATGAAGATTGGCAATAAAGGTGTCTATTCCTTTGCAAATACTGTTTATAAGGTATAACCACTGGTACTCTCATGTTTAGACATTCTTTCTGTCATTCAAGAAAATGTTTTTAATCATGCTAATAAACTTTTTGGAGATGAAAAAAAATTACTGTACTTATAAGAAAGTTTCCTCCCCCAAATTGTAAGAATTACAACTATCAACATGTGCTCATACTCTAGAGGTTTTTGCCTCATTGTGAAGCAGCTCAGATGCCTAGACTACTAAATTAGAGACCTCAATAAATATTTACCATTAATTTAAGTTATAGTATTAGGTTTTAGTAACCCCAATGAGTTATTTGTAAGGCATTCCTTATTTATATATAAAAATAGATGTCCTGGGACTACATGTCATTTCCTCTCAGAACT